CTTTTTGGTACTATATAGAACCTTTTTGCTAAGAGAGTAGTTTGTTCTGATTGTCTAATTGAGCTAGTCGTTCGCATGGTGGCCAATTCAGTGTCGTTAGCATGGAGTTTTAGACCAAATGTCACTTTTCGTCACTCATTTTCCACTCACAGTTACTTTTTTTCAATTTCCATCATTTCTTTCTTTCATTATCCTTTATAAATTAGTTTGGGGGATAAATTTAACAGCAATATCATAAATAAAGCTGGTTATACAGCTGTAAACAATCTAGCACAATATCAGCAACAACATTTTCAACAAAATCTTTTTATATTAGGCCTAGTCACTAGTTATTTTTCTCTTAGTAATTTGTTTGTCTTTGTTTATTTTCCAAAATAAAAGCCTACGTACATTCAAGATCTGTTTGAGGAGATTAAAAACTAGTCACACTTTATCCGCAGGGCAGTAATCTGAGTGGTCTGAAGGTGGACCAGCAGTGGCATCCAGTCAGTGGGGTGCTGACCTTATCAAACCGGCAGACTGATATATACTTGTTATCTGGGTAGTTACACCAATATAGTCCAGCTAGGCAAAAAAATGGTTCTTCAAGAGTTCTTTAGTAAAGACAATGGTTCTTTATAGAACTGTGGACACTCAAAGAACCAATTGAATGTACAAATAGTTCTTCTCAGTGATGAAAAAACTTCTGGTTCTTTTTAAGTTTAAATGGTTCTATATAGCACCTTGTGTTATAATTCAATGAACCCTTTTTTGTTATATAGAAGCTATATAGAAGTGCATCTTTCTTAAACTGGAGACTCTTGTTAGGTTAAATGATATTTTGCCAATGTCCTGTAAAGCTTGTTGAATCTTGAAACAGTTGCTATTGAAGACCACATTTGTGGGCAGCGCACGCATGGGTCAATTGCTAGCACGTTCAAATGAAAAGAATAGATGGCCAAGGGCTTAATCTAGATGGATGATGGCATAATCGGTTAAGTGTTGGGGAGGTGTTTGGGTTTCCAGTGCCCAGAATGCCCAGCCAGATGGAGGCACTCAGAGAAATAGCTCCAGAGCAGAAGCCTCAGAGGAGAGAGGCTTACAATGGCACTTGCCTTGATTAGTTGAATAGCACTAGTGAATGAATGGAGGCTGCAATATCCCACCAGAGTACCCCCCCCCCAACACAGTGCACACACACTTACTCTCACACACACAGATGACCAGACTGCTGCCTTCTGGCAATCAGTGTAATGTATATATGTGTTAGTGTGTAAATGTAATGGGTACAGTGGTGGTCTAAATAACAACAACCACATGGATGAATGGTTTAGCTGTTTGCTAAAGGGAGATTCTATTAACCTTTCACGATTTCTGCATAATTCATAATTGCAGCTTGATATGAAAAAGTGCTTTGTAGAGAAACTGTTTTACAGGTGGGAAAGAAGTGATTACATTCTGATGTAAGATTTCAGAAAAAGAAGACTTCTGTCTGTTGTGATATATGATGTCTGTTGTGATATATGATGAGTCATGCTTGATGTGACAGGAGACTAACAAGGTAAAAAAGATCCATTCTGAAATCAGGTTGACTGAAATGCTCAGAGGTTCTTAACAAGTGAGTAGACTGGGAATCTGCCAAGGGTGTGTTTTTCCTCTCCATCAAAATGTCAATTTATTTGTATTTTTGTAAGTTTACAAACCTTTTAACAATGTGCTTTTATTTTGAAGGGCATCTAGCATCTCCTGCTTGCAGATTGCGTCTGACACCCATCATCAGTAAAGGGGACATTTAGGCCTTTGGTCAAAAATAAAGGGGAATTCCACCAATATTTCAACATTTCTGCATAATTCAATGCTCAAGATGTAAACAAAGGTATTCAGAGTGGTTTGATGTGAAATACTTAATTAACTTGCCTTCTCCTACAGTGGTGGTGAAAGAAACCAGGGGTTGTGATGACCGCAACACAAATACGGCCATTTCATTTACTATCCAAAACCACCAGTGAACCTATGTGTGTCTTCTGATTTTTATTTGTGATGTTGATGATTGTAAAATAGTGATACTATTAAAAAAGTCCCAAAACTATTGCAAAACAATGTCTCAGGCAGCCACAACATTTTGTGTAATAACTTTCTATGATGGAGCTTTAAGAGGCATTAACTCTTCAGACGTCTGGTTCCCATCACCACCACTGTGAACACTTCAGAATCTGTTAGCGTCTCTAAAATGGAGCATTTGACATCAAACCACTCTGAATGACTTTGTTCACATCTTATTAATTTAAGTGTGCAGACAATTTGAAAAACTGGTGGAAGTCTTCAGACCTTTAGTAGTCCAGATCATCCTAGTCTCACTCTGTCAACTAAACTTTGGACACATGTCCACAGTCCATCCCTTTACAGTTTTCTCTGAAGTGGAACTTCCTAAGACAGAGCTCCATGTAAACAAACAGAAACCAGATACACTGTGAACCCTCATTAGAGCTGCTCTCCTGCGCTGAAAAGGTCCATATGTTTCTGAGTTCAGAGTTTTTGCTGTTTTTTGTTTTGTTTTGTTCTTCTTTTTTTTTTGAAGTAGCAATAAGAGACATTTTCCTGCTTGTCTTGTCTCGTTGACCGCATAGTTTACTGCTCACATGGCTGGCCGTGTAGCATGACGCAGTATCAAGCCAAGAAATCTTCGGCACCTCAACAGAAAAGAGGGTGGTCTCTGGAGTCCCCCAAATCCACTGAGCTTTCAATTGTCATCATTTACTGCACCAGCACAGAGCAATATTCCCTCCTCATAACATTCAATCACGTTTTAATGGAGGCTTCTGCTTATTGCTCCTCTGGGTCAAAGCTGATTTGCTGTTTTTGGGATGCTAAAAGCATTTTTAGATCGAAGCTGTTAGAAAAATGTATTTTGACTCCACACAGATTTGACAGCTTTGTTGTGCTTTGCTGATTGGAGAAATGCTTTCCTTTTGAGTTAGCTTCTTTCTCCTCTTCTGTCAAGTCAACTTTGGTCCCCCAGTGTTGCTCAGAATACATCATAATCGGAGTTCTTGTAGGAGTCGATGAGTGGATAAAAAATGATTTGGACCTTTTTGTGTTCCTCTCTCATAAGATTTAATCATATTTTAATAGAAACCGCTACTTATTACTACCATGAGTCAAACCTGATTTGCTGGTTTGGGAGGCCAAAATCATTTTCAGGATCAAAGCTGTGAAGATAAATGTAAAAGTGTTTCCTACACTTTCAGCAGAACCCTTTCCTTAGTATCAAAATATGGTTCTATGGCTATTTCGTAAGGGTCATATCCTGCCCAGCTGGACTGTGTTGTTGCTAATCCAAAGCAGGCAGGTTGGAAATGAAAACAAATTAGCCACCATGCTAACAAAAAATGGCTCTACACTCACTGTGCACTTTATTAGGTCCAGCTACCTTGTGTCTACACTCAGTGTCCATTTTATCAGCTTTACTTATTATACAGGTCCACTTTGTAGTTCTACAATTACAGACTGTAGTCCATCTGTGTCTCTGCATAATTTGTTAGCCCCCTTTCACCCTGTTCTTCAATGGTCAGGACCACCACAGAGTGGGTATTATTTGGGCAGTGGATCACTCTCAGCACTGCAGTAACACTGATGTGGTGGTGGTGTGTTAGTGTGTGTTGTGCTGGTACGAGTGGATCAGACACAGCAGTGCTGCTGAAGTTTTTATCACTGTGTCCACTCACTGTCCACTCTATTAGACACTCCTACCATGTCAGTCCACCTTGTAGATGTAAAGTCAGCGACAGTTTGTGTTGGTTGTCCTCTAGTACTTCATCAGTGGTCACAGGACGCTGTTGTCTGGATATATTTGGTTGGTGGACGATTCACAGTCCAGCAGTGACAGTGAGGTGTTTAAAAACTCCAGCAGCACTGCTGTGTCTGATCCACTCAGACCAGCACAACACACACTAACACACCACCACCATGTCAGTGTTACTGCAGTGCTGAGAATGATCCACCACCCAAATAGTACCTGCTCTGTGAGGGTCCACGGGGGTCCTGACCATTTTGGAACTGGGTGAAAGTGGGCAAACAAAGTATGCAGAGAATCAGATGGACTAGAAAGTGCAGCTGTATGGTAAGTGGAGCTGATGAAATGGACATGTGTAGTTACAAGTGTTCTAATGAGGCGCTCAGTGAGAGTATATAGTCCCAAAAACTCTGGAACTCTTACTGTTTTGTGGCTCTATACAGAACCACGTTTAAAAAAGGAACCTTCTTTAAGGAACCATCACACAGAGGATCTACATAACCATGCAAAGAACCATTCACACTGCTCTCTGAGTGTTCACAGCTCCGTATACAACCATCGCCTTTCACAGACAACCCTGCAAGAATCAGGAGTGCATAACAGCAAATGAGTGAATTCATTCAGACTCTCTTTTTTGCGTGTCATCATAAGCTTCCCTCTATTTTGCTAAGTCAGTTTATAATCCTTAATGTTGTTCATATAGAACATCATAACCTGCGCCTGTGTTGTTGTTCACTTTCTGAGTGTATTTAAGGTTATAAACGAATTAAATCAAGAACCCTTTTGTTCAGTTTTATTACAGCTCACCCTCCACGCTGAGGCGAGTCGATCGGGCTCGATTTCGCATTGGCTCAGTCCACACGGAGCCCAGCCAATCAGGAGGCGGCAGCCGTGCGTGAAGTTCTACCTGTTTTCCGACGAGGCCCCGCCTCCGGCGCTGGGATTGGCCAGTGGAACGCCTTCTCCTGCGCGACGATTGGCTGGTCGTTCGTTGTCATACGCAGTGCTCAGTTCTAGAACGCTTCACAGGCGGGGCTTGTCGCTGGGCGAAGCGTTCGAGAAGGGGGAGAGGCTGGCGATTGGCTAACCTACCGGCCAATCGTAGCACGCGAAGGTGGGCCTAGAACCGCGAGTGCTAAATCACCAGCCAATCGTAGAGCAGGAGGCGGCGGCTCGCAGCGCAGCGAGGTGTGGTTTGTCCCGAATACGGGTGGGAAAAGAAATCCAACGCGCTCCACGTTATAGTTGAGCACAACGGCAAGAGCAGATCCGCACAACTCAGCCGGACAGCGAGAGTTGAGCAAGAGGACGAGCCGTTCATTTACCTGTCTTTACTCTCACGCGCTCCTTTTTTCATTTTTATTTTATTATTAGTATTTGTTTATTTGTATTCGTTTTATTGATCCCACCAGCCAGTCTTTCGTGAAGCATATAAGAAGCGTGACGGCTCAGTTTAAGAGTTTGTGATTTGTTTTTTCTTCGCGCTAGATGGTCGTTCGCGTTCTACTCAGCCCACGGCAGCGGATGAGGCTCGTGCAAGTTTGAATCTCTGAGGATTGGGGTCTCTGTGTTTGTGAGGGGTGGCGGGGGGGATCCCGGACCGTTCCAGCAGTCTGTGGCCCGGTGGATGCATGTAGTGGACAGAGGGGCGTCCGTCCGCGTGTGAGGGGCTCGATCGCTGTCCAGAAGTCTCCAACTCCGCGCGCGCCATCAGCATCCAAGCCCCGGGTGCCTCGAGCTCCGGGGGGTGAGGGTCTCGACCATGATCTCTCTAGGAATACTCCTCAACCTGGTCTTCATCAGGGGTAAGGACAGTGTCTCCTGGGCTTTCCCTTTTCTTTCTTTCCTTTTATCCCCCTGTAAATCAGTGCACGAGGGTCTGCCTCAGGTGCCTCATCAGAACGAGGAGAAAAACAGCAACACAGACAGGACCTGAGGACTGAGTCTGCAGACTGTCCTCCTTCAGCATCAGACATATGCTCAGCTGAGTCAGACTCGCTTCCAGCGACGAGGCTGAAGTTGCTCTTCCTATTCGCCAGATTCTTGTTCCAGTTTTCCCGTTCCTCCTTAAATGGTGTGGCATTTAAGGTGGAACGGGAAAATTCGAATAAGAAGCTGACTTCAGCCTCGTGCAGGATCACGAGTGTTACAGTTCAGTGTGATGATGGGCGGATGGTGCAGTTTTATAGCCCCCTTTTTTTAAGGACCCCTCGCACTAACGCGCATCATGAGTGATATTTATAAGCAGGGGTCTGCTGCTGCCCTCTCCAAAGTGGGCTTGATTGTTGGCCCCCGTGTAAAGCTGTAGCAGGTATAGGTGTGACTTTAATGGCAGAGAGGTGGTCCACATTGGCATTGAAATATGATTCTCCTCACCTCTTGGAGTGTGTTAGGAGACCCCTGTCACACTCAATAGACTGTAGTTCTAGTTGGTCTGTGAGATTGGACACCTCTCTCTCTCTCTCTCTCTCTCTCTCTCTCTCTCTCTCTCTCCCACACCCATATTGCACAGTTGTAATGTTTTTTTATTTGGCCTGTGCATCTCGATCAGACTCCCTGTGTAACGCTGCACTCTGTGATTACACTCCTGTAATTAAGCAGACTTAGGGATGAACCCACAGGAGCGCTCGCGCAGGCGCGCGCATCTCCACTCTGAGCAACTTTGTAAGGGGGCACATAAAAAGGTCAGGACCGCCAGAGTCCGTGTACTGATTGTGCGCCCGTGCGTGTGTGTGCGTGTGTTGTCGTGCGCGGTGTCGCTCGCGCTCCGGCGCTTCCAGACACGCTGCAGCGCGCGCCTCTTCGGCAGCTTTATTTATGAGCCGCGTTAATGATGTGAGTGTGCGCGCGTGGGCGTGCGTGTATGTGTATGTGAGCGCGTGTGTCCGAATCGTGAATAGGTCTCTCTCTCTCTCTCTCTCTCTCTCTTTCACCATCTCTCCCCAACGCACTGTTTATGAGACTATAAGTCTCTCTCTCTCTCTCTCTCTCTCTCTCTCTCGCTCTCTCGCTCTCTCTCTCTCACACACACACACTTTCCATCAGTCCTTCCATCCATCAGTCCATCCAGTCCTTCTCGTTCGCCTTCTCTTTCTCTCACGCTTCAAGTCTCTCCCTCTCTCTTTCTCTTTGACCCTTTCTCTTACAGTTTATAAGTCTCCTACACTCTCTCTTTCACTCACTTTCTGTTTCTCTCTTTCTCCTTTCCTCTCTCTCTTTCTCTCCCTATCCCTCTTTCATTCTCTATAAGTCTCTTACACTCTGTCTCTCTCTCCCTCTCTTTTTCTTTCATTCCATCTCTCTCTCTCCTCTCTCTGTCTCTCTCTCTCTCACACACTCTTTCTGTAACAGTCTCTCTCTTTTTCTCTCTCTCTCTCTAAGCCTCCTTCTCACTCCCATTTCTCTCTCTCTCTCCCACTCGCTCACTCACTCTTTGTAAGTCTCTCTCTCTCTCTCGCTTTCTCTCTCTCTCTAAGCCTCCCTTCCTCCCTCTCTCTCTCTCTCTCTCTCTCTTCTCTCTCTCATTCTCTGTAAGTCTCTCTCTGTCATGCTCTCTCTCACTTTCTCCCTCACCCACTCTCTCTAAGTTTCTCTCTTTCACTCTCTCCCTATAGTCTATAAGGCAGGATCAACATGTCAACTTGCAAAGTTACAGAATTAGCATTTATTTTTTTATTTATTCAGTCTTGGTATTCTGGACTCTCAGGGTTTGGATGTCGCACTGAAAAAAAGCTGCACTGAAATTAGTGTTGATTCAAATGTGTGTGTCGTTTTCACATTAATAAAATATATCGCCTCCAATCAATTGTGCTGATGTAATATATATTTCACTGATGCAGAAATGATGTACACGTTTGAATCGGCTAAATTCAGTGCTGTATTTTCTTCACTGTGGGTTTGTCAGCGTATGAGAAAATCAAAGCCCATAAATCTGAGGAGGAGAGGGCTGTGTGTTAATCTGGGAGTCTAAACGCACCAACCAGACTAGATGATGGACACCAACTTCAGAGGACTGAGGAGTTTGTGATGGACATCAAAGCGTGGATGGGGAGGCTCTAACTCCTGCTTAATTCAGACAACACACAACTGCTGTGTGTTGGTCTGAAGGCTGTAGAGGCGAGCTGTCTGATTTACATGTGAAGCTTCTCTGAGACCTCAGACTGACGTTTTTTATCGTAGACAGGTGTGTGCGTGTGCCAGCCAGGCCGCCTCACTGACACCCTGAGGCCTGACTCCAGGCGCCAGATGTTGACAGCTGTGGAAGTAATCCTGCCAAAAACGCAGACCGCCTAAATCAGCGGTTCTCAGCTGGACTTGCCTCAGGACCCACATTTGTCCTTTTTCATTAAGTCACGACCCAAAAGCAATTTAGCAGTTTAACACATTCATATTTTGCCCTACAAACACCCAGTGGTTTCTCTCTCCTGTCCTCAGTGTAAGAAAAAGTGCAATATATATATTGATATAGCAGAATTAATCATGTTTTCATTTCAGTGCCAAGCTGAGAAAAACTACCCAACTGCTGTGTATGTTTGTATTAGGCTAAATTAAAGAGGAATTCCATTGATTTTTCAAAATGTCTGCATAATTAAGTGTTTAAGATGTAAACAGAGTCATTCAGATAGGTTTAATGTGAAATGCTGCACTTTAGAGAAACTTACAGAGTCTGAATTCTTCACAGTGGTGCTTATGGGAACCAGATGTCTGAAGAGTTCCCCAGAAAGCTATTACATGAAATGGTTATGAATATGTTGCTGTATATATAAGCTGTTGTTTTACAGTAGCTTTGAGATAGTGTTTTGGCCTAAAATGTATTCTTTAAATAGATTCCTAGTGAAGAGGTACATACAAAAACTTTCTTTGTTTTTTGGGATTTGTCACTATTTTCTGCTACCAGCATTACATATATAAACTCAGAAGATGTGGAGCTTCACTGGTGCATTTGGGCAGCAAATAAAATGGCTGTATTCATGTTCAAGACATCACAACCCCTGGTTCCTCTCACCACCTCTGTAAAGAAGCGTCTGTACAATGAACCATTTCAAATCAAACCACTCTGAAGGACTTTGTTTACGTCTCAACAATTGAATTGTGCAGAAATTTTGAAATATTGGAGGAATTCCTCTTCAGATTTGAGGCCTGCATCCTCCTTTTTTGTAATTGTCTGCTGATGATGGGTGTAACATACAAGCTGCAAGCAGGAGATGCAAGCTGCCTTTCAAAATAAAAGCACACAGTTGAAAGTTATTTAAACATTTAAAAGGGATGGAGAAAAGAACACGCCCATCATCCATTCCCAGCCTGCCCACCAGTTGAGGACTTCCAAACTCAACAATTCCTGGTCCATTTTTGCAGGTGGACGTGATTTAAAGTCAACCTGAAATCAAATTTGACATTTTTTCACCTGTTAATGCATGTCTCTGATAAAATTAAGCACACTACTTTTTATCATATCGTTTAAAAGACAAAATTCTTGTTTTCCGTAATCTTCCATCAAAATGTAATGACTTGTCTGCTACTGAAGTGTCATCTGATTTTTGATGACATCAGGGCAGAGAAAAATAATATTAACCAATAATGTTGTGTTTCACCTCCCCCTCCCACCACCCCCACCTATCAGCAAGAGAAACGCTCAGTTAGCTTAGAGACCCTCCATCATCTTTCACTCTGAAATACGTCACAGAGGGAAGGAAGATGAGCTGATTTCTGATTCTTATTGACCTCAATGACCCCTTTTTTTTCTTATTGACCCCTTTTTGTTGTGACTGTCACGGCTACAGTCTGTACTGCCTGTTGGTCTGAATGCCGCTAGAAGCAAACGCCTGATTACATGCTAAAAAGACTTTCTTTGAAGAAATCTCATGGTTCTTATTATAGACAGGTGTATGTTTGAGCCTCTAGCCTACCAGAAACTCCAGGCACTAGATGTTTCTGCTAAAAATATGGACCACCCAAACAAATTAGATCTGTTTTAGCATTTTAGCAGGACTCTTTTCAGGACGTAGCTTCATCATAAAAGTGTGTTAGAAGAGTGTAAAGCGGCTGGACTGTGAGTGTTTTCATTCTGTCCATTAGAAATTAGATCTGTTTCATAAGTGTAAAGTTTTATGAGTTTGTAGTTTTGAGTCGTGACCCACAAGTTGAGAATCAGTCATCCTAATCGATTCCTGATCTGTTTAGTGGGCAGTTTTGATTCAGAATACTTTTTGAACATTTGGGGGCCCAAAGCAACCACCTTCTACCCCAACCCCCCAATTATATTCTTTAAAGAACTAGTACACTGTAAATATTGGTGTTTTAATAAGTAATAAGGTGACAGAGCAAAATACATAGATTGTTGTTTGTGGTATTTCAAAGTTCAGTTAATCCAATTCGAGCCTAGTAACTAACTTTTTTAAGTTAAAACTGTTTTTTTTTACTGTGTACATAATTTATTTTGATCAGGAAAATAAGCATGTCTGGATCCCATGTGCTTTTTCTACAAAGAAAAAATTAAAAGAAAGTACACTCAGTGCTCCTCTGGTGGCTTGCAGGCCCTAACCCACTGTTCGTAGCCACAAACAGCCCTGCAAATACTTTGAACATTGGAGCTGTTTTGTTTGGGTCACTGCTACATAAAAGTGCGAATGAAGATTCAAAGCTGCCGGTTGGGTCCTCACTCTGCGCGAAGGTGCGCTGCTTTGATTGTAGCTTGCTGCTTTGTGGCTACATTCACTAATTGGCTGCTTCCACAAAGCTGGCGCTTGGGCGTACGAGGCCCGAAAGTGGCCAAGGACACATCCGTGGACAAGCTAATGACACAAGC